GAAGAAGTGGGGGGCTGGGCAGGGATCCAGGGCTGGAAGTGTCTGTGGGGGTCAGGATGAAGGGAAATGGGATGGGACAGGACAGTTGCCTACATTGAGGTACGACAGGTGAGATAGGGGGATTCCACACCTATCCCACATGGTGTAGAGGGGGTGATAGCTTGAGACCCTGGAGGAAGGGGTCTCACTGGGGTCTGGGGTGGGTCGGTGAGCTGGGGGCGGGAACTGCAACCTCAGAAAGTGGTGTCTGCCTCTACATCCCACGCAGCAAAAAGTCCTCTGCTTTCTGGGCTAAAAGCTGCAGAGAGCTGCAGATCAGACCTTGGTTGGGAGGCCTTGAAGCAATAAAGAGCTGGAGGCTTTGCCTGGGAATGCAATATTAACACGGTGCCTGCAGCTGATGGGCGCTGCATTATTCATTTCCAGCGTGCCATCGCCTGATCCTCCTGCCTTCCCCGGGCTCCAGCACTCCCTGGGCCGCCCTGCAAACCGCAGTCTGCTGCAGAGCTCGGCCTTGAAGCCGGCAGAGAGGCAGCAGGAGCGTGGGGGTCGGCTGCCGAGGGGCCTGGGAGAGATGGAGGGGAGAGGGAGGTCAGAGCGCCTGGCGAGGAGAGGAGGAGAGGAAAGGGGGAGGCACACATGTGCCGGCAAGAACAAGTGTGTGTGTCGCAGAGGAGGAAGGCTGCTGCGGCGCCTGCTTGCGGCTGAGCAGCGAGACGTCTCTACGACTGCTCTCCCATTGAGGGAGGACTTGAAAGCTGGAGCACGGGGGAGGAGGGGGAAGCAAGGGGGTGCACGCGCATCGGGCTCAAAACAGCAGTGATTGGGTTTAGGGATTCAAACCCCTGTACTGGAGCACATCTGGCTGAAGCTTCATCTCCTCCAGGTTGCAAAAGGGGCCTGAGAGCAACCCCCTCCCCTTTCCCTGTTACATTCCCCATTCCCAAAATATTGCCCTTTGATAAAGGGGGGGGAAGAGTTTGCAGCACTGTGAGGGCCTGGTGCCACACGGAGGGAACTCCATATCATCATACTTTATCAGCAGGCTGAGCTCAGGGGCCTGTGGAAATGGAAAATTAAATAAAATTGGCACACAGTTACGCTACCAGCTACTCTAACAAGGTCCCGTGTCAGCCCTGTAGAAAATGCATTTCTCCCCCGCCTTTTGCATCCCATAAAGCGCTGCAACCCTGGATTAACTTCCATATTCTTCTGCAGTTGCTCTGGTTCAGGTCAGACGTGTTATCACCCCATGGCTCACTCCCTGACCGCCTAACAGCAGGTAGCATTTTTGGAGCAGGTCTTTGCTGACATGACCCAGTGCTTGGGCATGCAAGTACAGCACAACCTTTGGCTGAGTCTGTCCTGGGCTGCAGGCAGCTGATACTCAGTTCAGCACGTGGGCAGACAGCAGGACACATGTGATTTCTCATCTGGATCAAAACTGATGCAAACAAAGCAACCCTGAGAGATACCCAGGACCCACTTGTTCCTGCCTGAGTGCTAAATCGCTACCCCAGCACAGCTTGGAAGAACAAGTCCAGAGATCCCAGCCTGCTGTGCTCTCCGCTTTGCGAAAATTGCAGCTGATGGAGGAAAATTACAGATTTCTGTCACCTGCTCTGCCCCTGGCCTCAGCCCCCAGCAGACACAGGCCCGCTCGCCAAGCTGCTGGCCTTTGCCACCTCGGCTTGCTGACTGCCCGGCAGCCTCTCTGGGGCGAGATGCAGCTCCCAGGGCAGGTTTGGGAGTGCCACGGTGATGGGCAAAGTCTTAGAGCTGGCCCTGGGGACCAAGCAAGCCTCACACCCAACACCCAAGGGTGAGAAGGGGAGAAAGGAGAACTGGAGCTTTGGCTGGCCCATGTCCTCTTTCCCAAACCAGCTGGCGGTGGTACGGGTTGCCAAGGGCTTGGGAAACTGCCCTGCCTCGGTGGGGAATTACAGCAAGCAGATGTGCCAGCGTGATGCTGCTGA